ACGACGGGAATGGAACAAAATTTTCCTGTTGAATCGCCCCGAATGCGGGAAACTTAGAATTACTTACGGAGCTATCAAGATTTACGCAGAATGAGGAAGTGGTAAAAATTCTCCGGTGTTTTTCGCGAACAGTTTCCTAAACGAGCATGTGAAAGGAGCAGACGACAAACGTAATCAAAGCAATTTTACAAATTTTTTAATAATTGTTGATGGAGGCTTCGTTAAAAAGTTATTAACAATTAAATTCAAAAATTTCAAATCGTTCTAAAAAAATTATTTTTAGTTGTGGGGGTCAATTACAATCATTTTTGGTGAATACATATACCCCCGAATTCCTACCTACTTTCGAGAAAAAAATTCAAGAAGGTATGAAATTTTTCGGCGAAAAAAAAATTTGAAATCGTTCTGGAAAAATTATTTTCAATTAAAGGGGTCAATTACAATAATTTTTGGTCAATAGACATATCCTCGAAATCCTGCGCATTTTCGAGAAAAAAATTCAGTACGGGCGGAACTTTAAACGTTAATAACTTTTTAACGAAGCCTCGATCAACAAATTGGTATTCTTGATTTTCATCTTATTTTGGCCTCTAGAATCCCTCATTAAAATTTTCCCTGTATAATAGAAATATCTGACTGGTAAATACGAAATAACTATGAGAGATTAGAATACAATTTTTTGTAGCTACAAATCAGAGTTTAATTTGTTCGAAAGCGACGGAAAACAATAGTTTCGACGATCTGTAAAAAGTAAATGCAGTTATAGATACCAAATTCCAATAGTTAAGTACGTTGAAGGGACGGTTACGATGTGGGGTTCGTTTAATTAAGTTGGAATGCAATTAATAATCCGTATTAGATCTCTTTTTTATTAAACTTAATTTATTGATTCGAAAAAACGAAGAGTTCAATGTATTACGATTTAATAATGGACTTTCTTTTTCTGAGAATATAGTAAAAGGAAATCTGTTACCGTGTATCAAGAAAAGTATGTCGGCAAATTAGGATTTCCAACATGACAGTAATTGGTATAATCACACTGTCAAAGTGTTAAAAGAGTAGTTATGTACCAACATATAAATTTTACTTTTTCATGGAATAGAAATTAATACTAGAAAACACATAAAAAGAGAAACAATCTATTATAATCTTTAAGAAATAAATAGATAATATTTTTCAATCAATACATTAACGATCTTAATAATTAGTATTGCAGAGGGCACGACGACGAATTATTAAATCTAACTAATGTATAATATGAATGAACCCGAATTTTTTATGAAGAATTGTTTTTAATTTGTACTGAGAACTATTTTTCATCTGATATTTTTGCACACATCGATAGTCACTAATAATGAATATTTATCGTTACATCGTTCTTACAAATTTGTTATCTTTATAGACTGGTATGTTAATAATGCATTCTTTGTATTTTAAGAAATGTCTTACATAATTCTCTATTCGGTGGTTATTACAGAAAAAACCATGTTGCGAAGTTTGCGCAACGCTGTGTGTCTCTAATGGTTTCGTATCTTCGTCAACTATAATCAAATCTCAATATCCGCGAGATAAATCGAATTATTGCGGTAGGATTACCGCGCGTATAATACTGAAATCAATCCCGTTTGAATCAAATCCTCTACACGGATCGTCTTCTTGTTATGAACTGTTCGTTGATTACATGTTTGGACGTAGAATTACTCACTGAACAAGTATTAGTGATGCTCGAATACCTTGCAAATGATATTAGTAGAGGTCTATTAGAGGATAGCTGATTCAATAAAATACTGTGAAATTAATAAAGACATTTTAAGGAAAATTATTTCAAGTTATAGTCGTCCCGCCTGAAAATCGGAAACCAGTTTAAACAGAATTGCAATTTCGTAGGACACATTGGACAATAAGTTTCCAGCTTTCCACGTTTATCCTCCCTTATGATTCGCACACTTATATGTATGTATATGTATACATTGGATTTGCTCCTGCAAATAAGACCACGAAAGATTTATACACTTGCCAGTGTAAAATCACCAGTGCAAATAGTTAATTTTTAGAGTCACCGCCATTAATCCTTAACACTCCGATTTTTAATTGTGAATATCGACCGGCAACTCCAACTTATTTTTATCATATTTCGACTTGCAAGTTTTTAAGTGTCAAATTCTAAATGCTACAATGACGTGTAAATAATAATATTAAAGTCATTCGAAACAATCTTTATTCATCCCAGAAGTAATTCATATAATTTTGATTACAATAGTTATATTAATTATAATTGAGTAATGTGTGGAATTTTTTAAAACGTTAATTGGGATGCAAACCGGGTTTGCGATGGTCTTACAACAGAAAACTGTTTGTTTTTTTACCGCATTACTTCCTTTTGGTGAACAAACGAGACACTTATTTTATATTTGTAAACAATTACCGATAACGACCCAAACATATGAGCCGTTCATTTTGAAAGTAGCGTAAGTCCATCTTCCAAAAAAATCGAGTTAGCTACCTTAATAGTTACATTTTTTTCATGATCTTTTCATTCTGAAGGAACTTGTTACTAATATGTGTACCGTATTTAAAATCATTAAGATTTTGTAACACGAAAATTTGCTAGTTAATGAAGTGACGAAAAAGTTTTACAAAAGAGTTTTATAAGAGAAGAAAAAAGATTTACACTACATGGACCGTATAGATACTAATCTTATTTTCACGACTTGCGTAAAAAACCACAAATTTTAAGTCATCGACAAGCAGGTTGATACCATGCATCTCTGAAATTAAGAATATAAGTGGAAAAATTAAAAGTTCCAATTACATTACGTTGGTAGATGAACAGCGGGGAAAAACATGCTGGCAAAATTGCAGGTACAAAATTTATTTTTCAACAAGATAATGCGAATGCACATACGACAAAAATTGTGAAAAGTACTTTACACAGGAAAATATTCGAGTTTTAGAATGGCCAGCCAGATTACCAGATTTGAACATTAATAAAAATTGTTGAGTACAATTATCAAGTTCAAGAATTAAATAATTGTATCGAGAAAAACTGGACGTCTTTAAGTAAAAAATTGATTAAAAAATGATTTAAATCTCTGTAGAACCGTTAGGAGTTATACAAACAAAAGGTGGAGCAACAAGATATTAGAATAACATATTTATACAGATAATAAGAGATATGTGTTATCATTTTCATTATTTTTTAATATTGTAAAATAAAATTATATATTGTATTAAATAATTATAAATAAAATTACTTCAAAAGTTAATAAATCTTATACTTATGCAGTGTACTAATTTTTCGTCGCGGAATGTACATCATAATACGATCTACCATACAAGTCATGAAATATCATAAACTGAATTTAATTTCATCGAGTTGATAGTGCGAGTTCATTAACGCGAGTGTAATTTTTCGTACGGTGTAAGGATCGAATTCAATTATAATGACACCTCGTGTTATCGGCACACAAGCTATTAATACAGTTAGTATTGGATCGCAGGAGTTAATGAGAAATTAGCTCAGGAATGCTAGTTAGTTTGCCAATAAGCGTAACTTCCAATTTGTACGCGATGGCACAGTTTATTGCGTGGCGTTCCACCCTTTCTCGTTTCACGTGACAATCGCGATATTGATTTATGAGAGTTAATATTTTGCGCAGTAATTTTAATTTTGACACCCTAGTTAGCAGAGTAATGTAAAAATTTTAAAATAAACCCGTTAAAATTTTGCAAAGCTATTTTAAATATGCGCAATATTATCGTAAATGATAATACCAGATGGTTCTCGATATATGTTTGTAATATTTATATATGATTTAATACGTACTATCTGATATGATTATTGTTTTGTATCGTTAATTTTTGTTCCTGATTAGAATCACAAAATTATTGACACACGCAGAAAATGATAGTAACATGAAGGATAAAAGAAATAATAACAGACTCTTTTATGCTTTATGTTTCAAAAACATAACATTTAGATTATGAACTCACAATACTATGAAAAAACGAATAATATCGTCAATTATAGTTATAAAAAAAATGAAAGGAAACGATTCCATGTATGAACTGTCGTCACACCTAATATATTCTACGAAAAACAATTTAATCAGCCTATTTCTATATTCCTATCTTTTCTTCGCTGTTGTTAAATAAGAAATTAAAATCTAATAAAAATAGTATTTGTCTCTACATTCAACTATGGTGAGAGAAGGAAAATACATTGATTTAGACATAAGAAATTTAGTAATTCATTACTAGAAAAGTGAGAAATCATATAGAGAATTTGGAAATATCGTAATCAAAAGTTTTTCAACCGAAATATTATTAAAAGGTTTGAAGATGATGGTAAGGTTGAAGGTGCAACTGAATGTGAAGGTGCAATAGTGAAGTACGTAAATGGTCGTGTTATGGTGTAGGGTTGTACCAGTTACTATGGAGTAGGATATTTAGAATTTATAATACAAACAATGGATAAAATGGGATGCTTAGATATACTAAACAATAATTTGAAGCATAGTGCCCATAAAAAAATTATTATTTTTGACTCTCATAAAAAATTATTTATGAGAGTCATTGAATCTAAATCCTATTGAGATAGTATGGAACAGACTAGATAAAAAAATACGAAAAAATGTAATGATTAATAATTAAAACGACTATCCAAAGTGGCAAAATAAAAAGGATATTCGACAAAATATTAACATTTTATAAATTATTATTTTTGCAATGCGTGCCAATAATTTTGTGATGTCAATTGATGCACCGAATCGTTTCGTTTCATTCTCCTTTAACTATAATTAAACATTATATTTTTCAAATAAAAAGCATAAAAAAATCTTTTATTATTCCTTTAACGCTTCATATTGCGTGTGTCAATAATTTTGTGACTCGCTGTTTGTAGATATTTTATCACGAATAGGCAGCGGAAGAACTGTTCTACATATTTATTTCTAGTAATTTTGCTTCGATTAACTCGATATCGAATTTTCATGTTCTAGGGAATGCATTTCTCGTGAACGTTGCATTGGCGGACCTATTAGTAACGGGCCTCGTGATACCAGTATCGGTGATTGTGATTCTGGCAGGGCATGAAGAGTCATTGAACACATGCCGATTTGAATGGACTCTTGAAGCCCTCTGCTTCCTGGTCACGGTGCTGACGTTGGCTACGATAGCTGCCGAAAACTATACTCGTCTGTGTCTACCACCAGAAAGGTAACGATAGTTATTAACGACTTAGAACATAACTAGTTAAGCCAGTGCATAGGAAATGTCATTTCATTTAATTAAACTTCAAAGAAATACATGTATCCCTTTAAAATGTTATATACAGGGTGTTCGGCCAACCCTGGGGAAAATTTTAATGGGAGATTCTAGAGTCCAAAATAAGACGGAAATCAAGAATATCAATTTCTTGGCTGAGGTTTCATTAAAAAGTTATTAAAAAATTAAATTAAAATATTTTAAATCATTCTGCAAAAATTATTTTTGGCTGTGGAGCTCGATTACAATCGTTTTTGGTGAATGGATATACCCCCAAAATCTTACACACTTTCGAGAAAAAAATTGGAGTAGGTACTGATATTTTTAGACGAAATTAAAAAATTTCAAATCATACTAAAAAAATTATATTTAGTTACAGGGGTCAATTACAAGCATTTTTTGTGAACAGGCATACCCTGAAATCCTACGCATTTTCGAGAAAAAAATTCGAGTAGGAGTTGAAAATTTTCGGGGAAGAAAAAAATTTCAAATCGTTCTGAAAAAAAACTTTTTGGTTGCGGGGATCAATTACAATCACTTTTGGTCATTAGACATATCCTCGAAATCCGATCCACTTTCGAGAAAAAAATTCGAGAAGGTATGAAATTTCTCGACAAAATTAAAAAATTTCAAATCGTTCTGTAAAAATTATTTTCGGTTGCAGGGGTCACTTACAATCATTTTTGGTGAACAGACCTACCCCCGAAATCCTAACCACTTTCGAGAAAAAAATTCAAAACGAGCGGAACTTTAAATGTTAATAATTTTTTAACGAAGCCTATATCAACAAATTAGTATTCTTCATTTTCGTCTTATTTTGGCCTCTAGAAACTTCCATTAAAATTTTTCCCAGGGGTGGCCGAACACTCTGTACTTCATCAAAATATTTTAGGCTTTTCATAACGTTGAACTTATTCGATAAAATTAAAATGAAAACTGATCCAAGTGCCTAACTCCATATTGTTTATATCATTATGACGTTCCTCTTTACTATGGTATATACAAATTTGTAATTAGATATAATTTTGTTTGCGACGTCAGGCCACACAATTTAAAAAAAAACATTTTGCATGCACTTATAAGTTTTATATTTGTCACTGATGTTTTAAATTGAATTCCATATGGTGTAACATATACATTTTTAACGATAGTAACAAAAGTATTAATATGTGAGATGCCATTTAAATAATAATAATAATAATTCTTAGATGATCTAGTTGATATAAGTATTTTTACTAAACAGTTTACTACTGTATATTATTAAAAAATAGTAATACACAGCAGAGCTTCTTACACTCTGGGTTGCGTTAAAATTCTTCGGAGTGGCAAACAATTTTGAAAAACATACAATATGTTTCTCATTACCTTGAAATTTCAGAATATTTTATCAGTATGTAAAAAATATATGTATATGTTTTCCCATCAAGAATAATATACAATATTAATTTTTTAAATTGTTGTTGCGTTGTACACGATGATTGAATTCTAAAGCTGGGGTCGTTAACAATTTTGTTTTATAAAAAGGGGGCGTGAATAAAAGTTTAAGTTTAAGTAGTGCTGATATACAGAACAAAAATCATAAGCTCATTTTAAGATTGCAACATTTACATTAGATTTAGAGAGTCAAGAAGAACGTGAGAAGTTAATTTAGAAAAACGATGTAGGGATATTTGATCGATCCAGTGTTTGAGGGCAATGGGTATTCGAAAGCTAAAGCGTCGCATCGTAGACTTCAAATTCGTGTGTTATGTGAGTTATACAATGAGAAAATTTGATGGATTCATTAATTATTGTTTTTTAATTGAAAGGGATTTAACGAAACTTTCACATGTACGAATATGAAACAACCTTTATTAAAATAATATCTGGTTGAATAATTTTTTGGTTACATGCGCATTAAAAAAAGAAAGGAGTTGAAGGTAACAGTATGGACGAACGAGTAACATTTTTATAATATAAATCAGAGAGTTACAAATTTTTGCTTCTCTTCCGCTTCATTTAATTTGAAAGTTTACGTAACATTACGTAATATTCCTGTTGCGTAAATCGTAGAATGCGCGCTCCCGCGGAAATCCAACAAAGACTATCAAAAAGTAATGGCTATTTTAATCAAAAATAGAATGGTCGCTAATTGGGTGAACTTCTACCGCGATTTCGACTAATTTTTAAAAATAAGCTGGAACACCCTCTAACGTAATCACATTATGATCCGATTACTCGTTAATCGGATTAGCATGTGATCCAATCACAATCAGCTTAGAACATAACAAACGTTATTTTGATCTAAACCTATTAAACAGTTATAACGATTGGAACTCTGGAAATGATATTCCAACAGTTAGAAGTAAGTTGTTTTCCCGTTACGTGTGTAAAATATGAAAAATACGCGCATTTACTGACATTTCGCATACAACATACCTAATGCGAATTTAATTAATCGTATATTTTTCTGTAACCAATTTTAGTGACTTTCAACGTAAAGAATGAAAATTAATACGTTCAAATTCGAAAACAATACGTTGCATGTAAACGCTTCTTTTCTTTCGCACATATTATTGCTATTTAACTAGAAATCACTCTTACACCGTCTGCTTTACCTTTTTTTTTCGTTGACGTCGTATTTCAATTAAGCTGGGAGAAATCGAAACTCGGTAAGTTCTATATAGGTATATACAAGTTGTTAACGAGGGGCTCGTATAGGGGAAATAAATGTAATTAAATCTTACAATAGAACCTCGACAACCTGAAATCACTTTGAGAATTGCACAAGTTTTGGTTTCAGAAAAAATTCATCCACGCCAATACTGTGTTGTTCGATCAAATTCATTAGAATTTTTGTTTCAACTTGTCGATCAAAGAATTTTAACTTGGATCGTATCTTTTCCCGTGACGAAAATTGTGTATAATACTATTGCATTACGAATTAAATATATGACATTAAAAATGAACTTTTAAAAGAGTTTAATTGCTTTCAGTATTGAAATTTAAATAATAATATTGATACTGCGCCTACTGCTTAATCAGTTAACTGTGGCGATCTCATTGGTATAGTCGTCAAACACAGAGTATGTGTAATATGAAATTAGGTTGTAATAAAATGACTTTTATTTTCTTTATTTCATTACTCACATTTATTTATTTACTTACATTAACGTAAATATTTTGCATATGAACGAAAAAAAAACATGAAAAATCAATTTCTTACTTTAACTTGCTGTTAGAGAATGGTGTTGAGCAAAGCATGGTACAATGCATAATGAATATATGAATCCGTAATTGCTTCTGTGATGACTAATAAAAGACAACGATACATTTACGAAAACTAATTCGTAGTATACGCGGTTTTTTTTTTATATTAATTATTTATAATTTTTATTTCGCCTTGACCTCTAAACATTTTAAACATATTAAAATTTACGAATATAATTTAGTTTTCGCCAAAATTACAATTTAAATATCGAATTGTAACAAAATTTTACGCATGACGGATATAGTCGTCATGACACAACATTCTGCCACATCTCCATGACGGATATAGTCGTCAAACACACTTAACTGCTTAAATACCCCGTGCACGAAATTAGACCGTATGATCTTGTATTCGTTTCCAGAACGTAATTTTTGGTAAGGTACAACAAAATTATATTTGAATAAGAACATATTCCATAGAATGTAAATAAATGACAAATACTTGCACTATTAATGGGTCTTATAATAGATATTGCTATTTAAATTTAAAACACGAAGTGTGCAACAAATGCAATGGAATAAAAAATATATGAACGTTATATTAATTAATGTTGTTTGATTAAGAAGAAACTGGGGGAAAAAGATATCTTCGAAAAGAATTTCGAGATGCCATCGTCGAAACTATTGATGAAAAGTTATTCAAAGTGGTTTCAGTTACGCGTTCTATCTGTATATTTTTTAGAGTCACATAAATTACAATTGAGATCGTAGGAAAATACATCGGATATTTACGTTTATAGAAAATCAGGGAATGTTTGAAAAAAAAAAATATTGTTCCAATGTTAAGCAGAAGTATAACGCTGATTGTTCGTGGGTCGTTCCACATTTTGCTTCGTCAAATATTCACAGAAGCGGTCGTGAATTTAAGCACTATTGTTGCCAAAGGCAATACGGTCACAGAGTAGTAAAGGGCTTTTCAAAGCGTACGTATAGCTATGCCATAGCTACTGATCTACACAGGATCTTTCTGCATGCAGACGCAACGTTTAGCGGTTAAAAATAGATGCACGAGAATTTTAGAAGTTTTAAAAATTAATAGAAATGTAGTGTTTCCTTTTAAAAGGTACATATATCCCAATAAGGGGGTCAAATGTGCCCTTCAACCAAATTTGACATACGATGGATCCATCGATAGACCATAAAAAAAACATTCTGTGCCAAGTTTCAACCCTCTATCTTATACAAAGTATAAGTTGCTTTTTCAAGCGAAAAACGTCGAAAAAATCGGTTTTTGATTTTTGCTACTACGGCGCAACCTACCAAAAAATCTGAAAAAATTCAGGGACATAACCAACAATAATACACATTTACAGCAATTATATAAATCTAGTGTCTCGAAAGCTTCAATACGAAATCCTTATTTTTCTGTGTTTTTGTGCGTTTTTAATTTTTCACACCTAGGATTTGGAATCGAAAATTCGGAAAAAATTCTCAAACACGTATCTCAATAACCACAATACACCAGATTTTTTTCATAATTTTCGTTCTCGATTAAATACGGAAAATAGGCACAAATTCGATAATCCGAATTTTCCCTATAACTACCCTTCCGAACAAGATAGAGGGTTGAAACTTGGCACAGATTGTTTTTTTTTTATGCTCTATCGATGGATCCATCGTATGTCTTTGGTTCAAGGACACATTTGACCCCCTTATTCGGCTATACCCTTTATACATTGAAGAGGTTTTAGAACATAAACGTTCATATTTAGTTAGTGTACTCTAGGAAACAATAAATATTCAACTTGTTCGCTGCTTCCATATCGTAGGAAAAAGAACTTCCGTTTTCAGTGAATGTATATTTTTCAAGTAGAGTTTAGCTGCCTAAAGACAGTATTAATGTACTAGTATTTTAAAGGACAGTAATATTCTAATACATACATACTTTTAGGAATATGGGAGCACTGCTTGCGAGTCACGACAGATAAGGAAGGCATGTAGCTTCCGTTTTTGGCTGCGTTGCGAATTTATTCAGTTCTGTAAGGATCAATTTCAGAATGATTTATAATATCCATTTTAAGGTTCACAAATTGTATCTCGCGTTATCGTTCTGGAAGAACAATGTTCGGAAATTAGCTGCTATTGCGGCATACTCAGTAATTTGATTTTCGCCAACTTGTCGTCGTTTATATGCGAGATTAATATAGTAATATCTCATTTTCTATGAGATATCTAGTTCGAATGTAGGAAATGAGTTAAGAAAATTATGGTATTCCAATTGTAGTTTCATTCTTGGGCAAACTTCTTTTTGTACGGCCCGATAAAAGTTATCGATGTTATATCGAAGATTATAAATTAATTGTAAATTATACAGGGTGTTCGGCCAACCCTGGGAAAATTTTAATGGGAGATTCTAGAGGCCAAAATAAGACGAAAATCAAGAATATCAATTTGTTGATGGAGGCTTTGTTAAAAAATTATTAACGTTTAAAGTTCCGCCCGTACTAAATTTTTATCTCGAAAATGCGCAGGATTTCAGGGATATGTATATTGACCAAAAATGATTGTAATTGACCCCATCAATCGAAAATAATTTTTCCAGAACGATTTCAAATTTTTTTTTTCGCCGAAAAATTTCAGCACCTATTCGAATTTTTTTCTCGAAAGTGGGTAGGATTTCGGGGGTAAATGTATTCACCAAAAATGATTGTAATTGACCCCCGCAACCAAAAACAATTTTTACAGAATGATTTTAATTTTTTAATAACTTTTTAACGAAGCCTCAATCAACAAATTGATATTCTTGATTTCCGTCTTATTTTGACCTGCAGAATCTCCCATTAAAATTTTTTCCAGGTGTGGCCGAACACCCTGTATAAAATAAAAGAGTATGATTTATGCGAACAGAAGGGAAGAAACTTTGAGAAAAGTTTATGTTGTCAACAAAAATTCTGTTTACTTTATAAATGTGCAAAATTTCACCAAAAATCGATACGTCGCTAAATAGAGTTTCTCATGTTGAGTGAAAACCACTGTCACGCGCACGCAGTTGTACGCAGGTTGCCTATCCACAGGCGCAACTTTAACCGTTAATAACTTATTAACAAAGCCTCAGTCTAGAATTTGATATTCTCGATTTTCGTTTTATTTTGGCCTCTAGAATCTCCCATTAAAATTTTTCCGAGTGTTGCTCGAACACCCTGTATATAAATAACACTTATTTGCAATAATTAAAAAAACACAAACGAAGAAATATCAAACGGATACTGCGTTCGTACATGGATAATAAATCACAACCGAATTAAATGTTAAAACGCACCCCAAAATTTTGTTTTGCTGGAAATTAAATTGAATCTATGAGATACATATTTAACGAAACCGCTGATTGCAAAATGGTAATGAAGTTCTCGATTCTTTAAAAAATGTTTCCAATCAATGGTATTTATTTTTAAAAAATTATTCTAAAAAATAATCAGTTATATAAATAATCGTTATCAGTTTATGAGAGTGGCTTTCTAACCATATAGTAAGGTAACAAAGGATTAAATTTGTCGTTACTTTTAATAGTTTTCTCGAAGGATATTCGTAACTCTATACGAGCTACACCTTCCACAAACACGAAAGAATAGGATAGGGCACTTTCGCGCGACATTTATTAACTGTTACGTCACATCCTACTATCCCCGATAGGTTATTGAACCGATAAATAACCTCATTGACTATTGACTTACGCAGACGCAGACGGTTGGAAAGCTAGTTCGAGCAATACTACGTTATGCATCTCTTTTGACACTTTGACTTTGACGCGGACTCGCTTTGCAGTTCCCTGCCGATGTCTCGTTTGAGTTTCTCATTTCACATTCTGAGGGACGTTCCAGCAATTTAACTCCTTGGAATCCATAATCGGCGATATAGAATTTCGGAGCCCATATTCGTAGCAACCCACGACTAAACTCAAAGCTTTCGCGTAAGATAATGGCACTGCCATTAGACGACCTGTTAATATTTAAAATTCCATGAATATTACGGTTTATGGTCTATCTTCAACGATGTAACTCTAAACGATGGATACCTCCTAGTCTCCTACCGCTTATTTATATTCATTGTTTGCTTTTTCACTTCGGAGATTAAAAAAAAACGAATTTTGTCAAATTTTCTAACAATATGAAGTGTCGAAAATATGTTCGCGAAATTGCATTTGGAGAATTGGTGAAATTTAAAGTTGAGACAAGTACCGTTTGTTTAACGTATGTATAACCCACATCTGTTTGAATCGATTCATCTCTGATTACTAACCAATGCTATTATTTTCAACTACAATTTATAGAATTACGTTAAACAATTACTTTGTCTTTGAATCTTGAACAGTACTTACCAAAGATGTGCTTTACCCTTATCTTCATTACCGTCGTCGCTATTATTATGTCACATTTTTTATTCTACACAATACAGGGTGATAGTGATTCTTACAAAACTGTGAGGCTATAGATACGTCATTAAGTAGAGTTTTTCATGCTGAGTGAGAACCACTATCACGCGCACGCATCTGTTCGCAGATTGCCGTTCCAGAGGCACAACTTTAAACGTTAATAACTTTTTAACGAAGCCTCGATCAACAAATTGCTATTCTTGATTTTCGTCTTATTTTGGCCTCTAGAATCCCCCATTATAATTTTCCCCGGGGGTGCCCGAACACCCTGTATAAGTACAAGTGCGTTATCGTTTGTTTCATGACCCATTATATTTACAGATATGCCGTACTGACGCCGAGCCGGGTAACAACGACGATCATCTGTCTCTGGCTGATATCCGTTATGGCAGTGGTCCTGCAATCATCCTTAGACGTAGGACCAGATTTCTGCCGTCGACGATTCAGCGGAGTAGCCATGGAGCAAGTAATCGGAGCCATTCTTCTAGTAGGTTTGCCAACTTTAATGACCACCTTTCTGTACATCAAGCTGGTGATTCGAGTCCGACAAGCTACAAGAGGCTCGTACAAGCCACCGGTCGCCTTTTCTTGGGACTACGAGCTGACCAAAGCAAACATGTACAGCTGCGTGATGTTCATGATCTTCTGGCTTCCATTCGGTAGCGCCGTATGCGTAAACTCGTTTCGCCCGATAAGCGCCCGCGTTCTCTACAATTTGGCCTGGTTCGCCCTATCCAAGTCTTGCTTCAACAATTTTCTCTACTGCGTGGCAGACCGTCACTTTCGCAGCGCTTACGTGAAGCTTTTCCATTATTGTTGCTGCAAGACCACGGTGAGTTTCTCGAGAAGAACACGCGGTGACGGCGGGCGAAATACCAGCGACGTACGTCTGAGGGTTCACATTATCCATTCCTATACAAGTCCAGCTTCTTGCCGGTCCACCAGGGAGTTAGGCAGACCCAACGGACGTGACGTTTACGAGCTCTAAACTAAACACCGCGCTCGACGATCGGGATACTTGTGAAAGGTTACATCCTCATCGACGCAAACGATCGCCGTCCAGTAGGAACTTGTTCGTCTTTCGTTTTTTCTTTCTTGACAGGCTGCCTCTTCCGACATGCTTCCGCGATCTTTTCTCGATATTATTGCGTTAATATAGTCAATTTTCAGTATCCTGAGTACGTTGCTATTTTTTGTATTCGAACGTCGTTTCGATGAGATAAGAATTCTTAATGCTGGTTTCCGTAAAAACCAACATTTCTGGACGCTGAAAGATCATTCGAACAGTCTTTGACGACACTTTCTCTTAATCAAGAATTTATTCAACACTAAATCTACCGACACTTCATGTATACCCATTGCTACCATGATCGGTCAAATGACCAGTCTTTCTTTTTCTCCTTTACGAGAAGTTTTACAAAAAATAGTGTTTGGAATTTATTCCTAAGATATCTTTCTCTTTTATGCCACCAACTTTTTCTCAAATTTTACTCTCAATGTGTATGCATAGTATTTATAACTTCCTGCAGAAAATTTACAAATTACGTATAAATTTTTTAATTCTCATCAGGTAGAAGATAAAATGTCCTTGAAAACGAATTTTCCTTCAAGTCTATACCGTAGTTAGTTCCAGAGAACAACTATTATTTACGAAGAAATGCTGGCTAATAATTATGCAAACATCCTGTACACAAATTTAAATTCGTTCACGATTAAATAATCAATTTATAATCCACTTTCATCGCACGCCAGTCGTCTAATCGATAGAATTCACTGAAATTTCTTTAGGTACATAACGTCAAAGTAAATATCAAAATAAACGTAGAAGATGTTATAAATTCTAATAGTTGATATATTCATTGGATAGAAAATGAGATGCCCTTTAAAACGAGTGTGCATTCAAGTCGATAGCGTAATTAGTTCCGGAGATAAAAGGCTTCAAAGCGTTTGTTTACTTTTCATTGTTTACGTCGCGAGGTCAATGAACTTTCACTGCAGCCTTCGCAAGGTTGTTGACCGTACGTACTTGTAGTAAATAGTAAATTTTACGTCACACGGTCACGTTACACGAGAGAGAAAGAGAGCGAGAGAGAGAGAGAGAGAGAGAGAGAGAGAGAGAGAGAGAGAAACAGAAATAGTTGAATTAAAAAAATTACAATCTCATTTAAATTACGATATCTCCAAAATGGAAAGTAGGATCGACATAATCCAAAAACCATTTTAAACAGGAAGCTTTACCGCTTCTAACAGTGACTCAATTATGGGAAAAATCACTAGTTCTTTCGGAACTGCACGCGTCTAAAGTTCTAGTACTTTTAATACGCGTCAATAAACTTTTATAAGACCGAAAGTTGGATGTTAAAATTTACCCCTTTATTAAAATTATGATACTTCCAAAACGGAACGTTGGATTGACATAAAACAAAATCATTTTAAAGGGAAGTCGTTGCCACTTCTAATAGTGGCTCCATTATGAAAAAATAACACTAGTAGTTTTGGAACTGCATATATATGAGGTTTAACTATTTTTAATACGTGTTATTAGACTTCTAAGATAATGAAGGCTGAAGATTCTCTCTCTTCATCTTTGCTGTATATTTCCTATTTAAGTACATTGGAAGCTAACCATAATTTGATACCAAATTTTATCCGGTTTTGTTACAAAAAATCATAAAGACGGACCACGTATTTTTCTCAGAAAACGAAAAATAAAAGTAGAAGCGAATATTGAAAAATTCATTGTACGTATACTATAAGAAAAGTCGTAAATGTCGCTAAAATAACATTGTATATTACAAATTCTAAACGAAATTTAAAAAACGGTCATTTGTCCGGTCATGGTAGGAAAATCATTGAAGAGATATCTTTGACTCGTGGTAAATTAGGATAGTGGTGAGACTGAAACGTGTTTTGGTACATTGGGATACATTTACGTTCAAAATCTTGTATCAAAACCTTCTAAGGAACGTCTTGAAACGGTTTGAAACTTATCAAAACACGCTACTACCGTATACCTACTAATTACACTAATTTTAATACCAGTCCAAACTCGACAAACAGTTTGAACATAGAACATAATTAATATCTTCCTCAGGTTTGAATCTGATGAAGTTTCTATAGATGAACGAGTTGCAATTTTCCAGTTTGAAGAAAAACAAATGGTTACAAATACAATTTACACTAGCCACAATACGTTTCTCTTATCAGTACTTTTAAAATTGAAAGTTAAGAGAAAGTGCGACAACGATGTTATTTCGTTTTTGTCTACTAGTTATTATCCAATTATTCATATATTCTTTATGTATTTATTTCTACAACACAATATTTTGTGTCATTTATAATTTTAGAACGATACGTATATTGAAAAGGTGTGTTTCACAGTTATTTAGAAACAAGCCTGGTTCTTCCGTCTGTCAGGAAATGCTTTACCAGTAAAGTAACGCAACTACTACTATTTTGGCACTAATAAGACTTTATATCATTTATTCTTCTACTTTCAATATAAGTATTGTCCAATTGTTGACAGAAGTCGGACGAAGTTGAACTCGAAGCGCGCTACGTCCGACGCGAGCATCGAAAGAAAATACTTAAATGATTGTGATTGACACTGAAGCAGGCAATCGCCGTCCATTAAAATTTTATCTTATTGCTATTCTGATACTAGAGAAATCTATCCACCTTCCGTCTGCATTCCTCCAAGAGTCAACTGTCTCACGAAACTACATATCCAACAAAAAACGTTCGTCACGGTTGCTCTTTGGACAATGATTTCTTCAGAACAGTACAGAATTTTTTCCAAATTAATTCACGAGAAAAAGAGAACCTCTATACTAATATACAAAGTACAGTCCTTTAGTTTCGTAAGTGGAATCGCAAAGTAGAATTTCTATTTTTTTATAAAAGGCGTTTTGTATTTTGTTAGTATAAATCTTCTCTACTACAGTTTGTGTATAGGAAACGCGATATTTAATGTATTTAGGTATAAGAAATAATTTCATGATTTAACGACACAAACTTTTCTTAAGACCGCATAAAACATTATTTGCGTGGCGATATAAAATAACAAAGAAAGTATAACAGAGAACAAAAGCTGCAAGAAAACTAGATCACTATCATTCTAGTAGTATTTTCAAGTATACAGTTTCCAGAAATACACTTCCAGCCAAAAAGATAGCACATGTGTGCTATCTTTAATTTCTCACTGACACACGTACAATTTTGGGTTTGTAACACATAATATAGTAAGCTTACGAGCTCAGAACATGCGGATCTCGCTGCAAAGATGTCGCGGCATCACGGCATTTTGTTTACAGAACAGAAATAGTGTTGTATACGAAGGACGAAATGATAGCACACTTATAAAGCAATAAACATTTATTTAATTTATTATCAATCTATATAATTATTCATTAATTGTTTAATAATGAGTACATCCTCCCTTATTTTCTATGATTTCAATCATTCTATTTGGTAACGACTTATATAATTTTTGAATATTTTCTTGATTTAAATTGCTCCATTCCGCGACAATAGCTTCTTTTAGTTCGAGGACATTCTCGTATTGTTTCCCATGTTTTTAAACTGCTTGACTGAGTTGACTCCAATAATTTTCGATAATATTAATATCCGGTGAGCGCGCAGGCCATGATAAAACACGTATCTTTTCTTTTTCAAAATAGATTTTTACAAGTTTTGCAGTGTGTACCGCTGCATTATCCTGCTGATATATGAATCCAAACCCAGATATACGTAGGGCATGCTTTGTTATTTGTTGCTTTATCAAATCCAAATAATATTTACTGTTCATTTTTCCATGAATAAATTTTATTTCCGTCTTATCGAAGTAACCGATGGCCGCCCACACCATTACTCCACCACCGCCCATTGCTCGCCGAATTTTTGACAATTTTTCTTTTCTTAGATCGTGGAAATAATAGTTTAAACCATCAGGTCCATCTAAATTAAATTTTTGTTCGTCGGAAAATATCACTTATCGCCACTTCTTCTTCCAGTGTATTCGATCTTTGGCAAATTGTAAACGTTCTTGTTTGTGCCGTGGAGTTAATGCAGGTTTCTTTTTTATTTTTAGTCTTCTAATGTACTTGCATGATTGTAATACACGAGGAACACTTGAAAGACTTGCATTGACGCCAGCCTTTTGCATGATTTGTTTTGTTGTACACTGGGTATTGGAAGCTATACGCAAAACAGTTCGTTTATCCCGTTGTGACAACGATGATGGTCTTCCACTACTCTTCTTTTTACCATAATTTTCCACGTTTTTAAGTAAATTATAAATTACCTTTCGACTTCTGCTAGTTATTTTCGAAATTTTAGATACCGATACATTTTGCCTTTTCAGTTCAAGAATATGCTTTATTTCTGATGTCGTTAATTTTTTCCCCCGTCCCATTCTTGTAAATTACTAGGCAATACTTTCGCGTCTTGAATACCTAAGAGATCGCGAAATGCTGAGCAGTTTATAAACATGTAGACGGAGTGTGCTATCATTTCGTTCCTAGAATACAACACTGTTTCTGTTTTGTAAACAAAACGCCGTGATGCCGCGACCTCTTTGCAACGATCCGCATGTTCTGAGCTCGTAAGCTTACTATATTATGCGTTACAAACCCAAAATTGTACGTGTGTCAGTGAGAAATTAAAGATAGCACACATGTGCTGTCTTTATGGCTGGGAGTGTATGTTTATCGCTAGAACTACTGACGATTATAGTGTATTTACTTGTACCAAAGAAATTAAAACGATAGATACTTGAAGAAATGTACAGGGTGCTCGGCCACCCCTGGGGAAAATTTCAATGAGAGATTCTAGGGGTCAAAATAAGACGAAAATCAAGAATAGCAATTTGTTGATCGAGGCTTCGTTAAAAAGTTATTAATGTATGGAACGGCAATCTGCGAACAGCTGCGTGCGCGTGACAGTGGTTCTCATTCAGCATAAGAAACTCTATTTTCTGACGTATCCACAGTCTTACAGTTTTGTGAGTGAGAACCACTGACAGCTGCTCGCAGATTGCCGTTCCACAGGCGCAACTTTAAACGTTAATAACTTTTTAACGAAGCCTCAATCAACAAATTGCTATTCTTGATTTTTGTCTTATTTTGACCCCTAGAATCTCTCATTGAAATTTTCCCCAGGGGTGGCCGAACACCCTGTATGATGCAATGGAGATAAATGATTACTTATTCCTTTATAGAGAACTACGGTAAATTTTCAAAAATCAATTCGAGTAAATTTTTTACGATTTTTATTAGAAATTACGAATGGGTCATTTTGACCACTTCGGTAGTTCTAGTGTCAAGACGCGTTCAGAAATAATATTTTTTTATAAATAAATAATAGTATTTCGAACATTGAGTGTTCCTCAAAAGCACTAGTTTCCGATCTACGTTATTTTCATCGGGAGAGTGTTGTCTTTAGGCAAGTTACATTATGGGATTGCAATTTGCGCTGCAGTCCGATATTACGAATAAAGATCTCAACTACGCGGTTCCCTGATAATAGCTTAATGCCCAGATGGAGCCCCGATGAAAGTGGTTATTCGCGTAATATTCTCATATTGGAAGAGCAATTTACAGTGATACGCTTTCGACCTAAGCTGTGCATGACCTAACTTTCATCGATGAAGTAACATCTACGCATACATTGAACTTCAAATTACGGCCAATTCACAGCGATAAATTGCTCGGTGGGCAAAAATTGTGGCAACCTTTGAAAGAGAAATGCAAAATACTCGAAGAAAAATCAATTTCTGCAATAGACAGAGAGTAGAGGCGACAAAATTCGACCTTTATCTTAAGATTTAATGTATGAATGGAATCTGTATACTGAAAATTTACATAAATGAAAATCAAATTTTAACGAACTGCAAGGGTAATAAATTATGAGCAAAGGTATCAGTTAGTTTTGTATACGACTTACAAGTGAATTTTTTAACAACAGAGATGATGTTTTTAGTACACATTAAATGTGCAAACAATTCATAAGGAAATATAACCAAAAT